TTTTAAAATATCTGACTTTGGAAGTGCAGTTAGAGCCAGGAACCTGCAGACACTCACTTGTGGCCCCGGCCATCTCCCCACTGGCCTTACTCACACGATGTGGACACTTCAGACAATCTGATCCAAAGAAATTAAACCGCAGGTTGTGTTTGCATGGCTCCGGCAGGTGGAGAGTGTTATTTAGCCTGAGATCGGCAGAGCTGGGCTTCATCTAACAAGCCTACATCTTCTCTGACTCTAAACGAGGAAGCACTGGAGAACCCACCTGAAACTTGGTTGCACGTTCAGCTACATCAACTCTTTTGTAACCCCATGGACCGCAGCCTGCCAATCTCCTCTGCCCATGGGATTTCCCAGGCAAGAATACTGGAGTGGGTAGCCGTGTCCTTCTCCAGGGGATCTTCCTGACCCAGGGATTGAACCTGAGTCTACTGCATTGGTAGGATTCTTTCAATTGAGCTACCTGGTAAGCCCTGATATCTGGTTAGGCACTCAACAGAGATTTGGAGATTGATCTAGTCTCACAAATCAATGGCTTTTAGCCCCCCTCCAACAACCTGAAAAATGGAACCAGCTCCAGGTCTTTCCAGAATTCTTGGGCACCCTTCATCCAAATGGGATAAACGTGAGCCCAGCTCCCAAAGCCCCTGGCCCAGGGTTGCTTTGCCAGCTCGGCCAATGCTAACCTCTCATCACCATGGTTCCCGGAGCTAAGCAGAGCACAGACCTTCTCATGGAGAGCCTGGTCCTCCCATGGAGCTTAAATGTCGCCCTCCTGACTGAGGACTTGCAGAATCTACCACTTTCAGAGCGAAGTGAGTGAAGTCGGTCAGTCGTGTCCGACTCTTTGCGACCCCATGAACTGTAGCCTACCAGGCTCCTCCCTCCATGGGATTTCTCAGGCAAGAATCCTGGAGTGGGTTGCCATTTCCCTCTCCAGGGGATCTTCCCAACTCAGGAATCGAACCGGGATCTCCCGCATTCCAGGCAGACACTTTAACCTCTGAGCCACCAGGGAAGCCAAACTTAAAAAAAAAACAAAAAAAACCCACCAAGTGAACTATGAGTGTGAAAACGTCTCACCAGCATCACCCAGAGGAAAACTATCTGCCATGCACTCTCAGGCTCTCCTCTTACAACAGTCGATTCTCCAACCTAAATATTTTCAATCCTCAGGTGGACATGGATGTTGGAAGATCGAAACTTATGCCTCGGGACTTCCCTGGCGATCCAGTGGTTAAGACGCCCTGCTTCCATTGCAAAAGATGCAGATTCAATTCCTGGTCAGGGAACTATGATCGTGCATGCTGCATGGCTTGGCCAAAAAAAAAAAAAAGTTTAATTAATTAATTAAATAAAAGAAATAATTATATTCAAAAAACAGCAAAAGAACCCCCACAAAACCCCACTTCCTCTAGAGGCACAGAGGAAGTACAGATACTGGTCATAGAAGCCTACATTTTTATTCAAGCTCTTTTCAACCTTTCTTTTTATGCTTGTTTCCTTATTTTGCTTCATTTTTAATTAAGGAGGAAATGGCTAATATCTCTGATCACTTCCACTGCTGGATCTTGCTGGGCTTCATACGTCTCTAAGGACAGACTCTTTGAAAAAGGAAGAGAGCGCACAAAATGTGTCAGGGAAATGGAGTTCCTATCATTTCCCTGAGAAATTTTGCCTTTTAAATGGGAGTTCTACCATCAGTTCCGTGAAAGATGGTTTCCTTATTGTCATTTATTACCCGTGACAGGCAGCAACACTGCCTCCGAATCAGCCTCCATTCTCAATTATCCAGCCGAGCCTGCAAGGCAAGAGGAGGCTTGAAACGCCTGCCTTCTGGAGTGCTGTTCCCAAAGGCAACAGTTCAAAGCAAACCTCTATGAACTGGAACGCTGATATCTACCAAGTTCTCTGGACAGAAGATTCTACTGCTCTTACAGTGATACAGGAAACTAACACGGAATTAAGTGCACTCCAGTCACTAGGAAGTTCAGCAACATGGTCTATACGTGGACACTTTATATGCCCACCCATATGGGATCACCACCACACACACAACCCACCAGACGATCAAAAGACGTGCTTCCTTTCTAGCAAGGGTCCTCCCTGTTAACCTCCTCCCAACAAGGAAATGAAAAAAATAAAACTACTTTCACTAAAAATGTAATAAAATGGGACAAAATATAAGACATTATCAAAATTAAGCAAGTTAGATGCACTACAGTCATTCCTTGGTATCCTAGGGGATTGGCCCCAGGACCCCTGTGAATACCCAAATCCATGGGTGCTCAAGTTCCTTAGATAAAATGGTGCAGTATTTGCATATAACCCATGAATATCCTCTGTATAGTTTAAGTCCTCTCTAGATCACTTATCATACCTAAGTAAACAGTTGTAAATATATTTACAATATAAACCTATGTATAGGCAAGATCTCGGAGGTATTTAGGGTTCGGTCCCACACCACTGCAGTGAAGCAAGTATCACAATAAATTGAGGCATGTGCTTTTGGTTTCTAAAGTGCACACAGAAGTTATGTTTACACTATACTACAGTCTATTAAGTGTGCAACAGCATTACGTCAAAAAATGCATCTCTTAATCAAAAAGTACTTAACTGCTAAAAAAGGCTAACCATTATCAGAACCTTCAGTGAGTCATATTCTTTTTGCAACAGTAACCTCAAAGATCACGGATCACCATAATAAACATTAGTAAAGAAGCTTAATATACTGTGAGAATGATCAAAACTTGACACAGAAGTATGAAGTGAGCAGATGTCAGTGAAAAAATGGTGCTGATAGACTTGCTCCAACAAGGGTCGCCCAAAACCTTCCATATGTAAGAAACGCAGTATCTGCGGAACACAGCAAAGAGAGATCTGCCTGGAAATAAATGGACATGGCAAATTCAAGTGTTGCTTTTAAGAACTTTCTGGATTATTTTTTCCCAAATATTTTTGATCTGAGGTTGGTTAAACCTGCATGTGTGGAATCTGTGACCACCGAGGGCTGATTGCACAGGATACTAACCCCTAGGCCTATTCACAGATGTGACGTAACAATGACACGTGCGTATGTGGTCAGTCGCGTCAGTTGTGCCTGACTCTCTGACTCTATGGACTGTAGCCCACCAGGCTCCTCTGTCCGTGAGATCCTCCAGGCAAGGATACTGGAGTGGGTTACCGTGCCCTCTTCCCAACCCAGGGATGGAACCCATATCTCTTACATCTCCTTGCCTTGACAGGCGGGTTCTTTACCACTGACACCATCCTTGCCAAGAGGGCTCACAACTCATTTACAGCAACATAAAAATCTTAACCTAATTGTGCATCTTTAACTATCTGTACTGATTTTTTGTCTACATACTTTTTGTTTCATGCATTTTACAGCAGAGGGAGGGGTTTCAGAAGAGATAATAGAAGAAAAAAAAAAAAAACTGAGGAAAATAAAGGAGATTTAGAGAAAGAAAGCGATACGAGAATAGCAGGAAAACCCAGACTGGAGACTGGAGGATTCTGGGAGGGAGGAGGCTCTGGGACTGGTCAGCTGGCTGAGATGACCTGTCGGACAGCTGCACCTGAGACGGGGGCAGGGCGTGCTGGGGGACAGACGGGGAAGAGAGCCAGCCTGGGCATCTTCAGTTTCTGGTCCATGGAGACGCATCACCCATCAAGCACACAGCATTGGTGCTTCAATCTGTTCTCTGAGCATGAAAATACATGCATTGTGCTTCACAGACAACCCGGAGATGACAGAAACGGAGTCGATCACATCATTATAATATAAAAATGAACATACCTCGGCGTGGCGGATTCTAATACGATTTTAATAACGTTGACAAGGAGCCAAATTACAAATGCCCCAGAATTTGGAGTACAGAACCTCAGAGACAAAATAAAAACTCATAAGAGGAGAGTCTTTTTAAACGATCACAATCTTTAGGATGAAGAAACCATTTTCTCAACGAAGGTACTGAGCGCATTTACTAAGAATTAAATGAGATTAAAGACAAGGTGCACTGTGACCCGTTCCCCAAACGGCGGTGATTAGGAAGGCGAGAGTGGTGCCGATGATGAAGGCAGGGCACCAGGCACACATGCGAGCTCGCATCACCAACAGACCTGGACGAAACGGAAACCTGCTTCCGTTTCACTGATGGGCAAGGAGGGAAGCCTTGGGAATGAACCGTGGTGCACACGGGTAGCAGGTGCGTGCCCGCCCTTCCACCCACACAGCCCCCCACCCTGCAGGGCATGGACCAGGGTGAGGCAGGGAGACAGGCTGCCTCCTCCAGGAGCAACTCGTTACTCAGAGACTCTAAGGTAAGAGCTCCGCATCCCCCACAAACCAAGAGTGAGGAGCTGGAACAACAGGCGTCCCCAGCCCCTAGAGGGACAGGGTGCCACCACCCCAGGGGTGGCAGGACCGCAGAAGTGAAGAAAGAACCCCCCGCCTCAGCGACACTCATCACCCGTCAGGATGAAGGTGCAGCACCCCCAGGACTTCTGGGTGGGGGGCTCCCCTCAACTCTCCAGAGCACATGCCTAAATGCTACTGTCCTATGGGGCTCTCTCTTCCCCCAGAGGGCATCACATGGTTTGCTTCATCTGGGCCAGATGTTCAGGTCAGGGTGTCTGCTCGTCTCGGAAGGAACACAACTGCAATTATTTGTTGGTTGCCAGCACACGCGGTGTTGAAGAGTGGCTGTGAAACAGTGGAGGACACACGGCTGACCCCCTTCTGCAGAGCCAGCGGTGAACCAGGAGACAGGATGGGGGGCGGCGCCTTTACTTTAAACCCTAAATAAAGAGTTTCAACAGATGCAGATTCCATGAGACAGGAGGGGTGAGTTGGGAAGACTTGAGGTTTTATACTCTTTAGATGTCGACTTTGGCCGTCCCGGCTATTAAAAAGTTATGTGTAACTTCAAGATGAGACGCATTAGCAGCTTCTTAGAAGAGGATAATCCCAATCTTCAGGAGATTTAATGAGATGGCGCTCACTGCAGCTTCTGACTCGGCCTGCTGTTAATTGAATCAAAGTCAATGACAATCTGGCTGCACTTTGGTGTGAATTTCCTAAAGGTAAGAAACAAAACATAAAAAGACATTATCCAGTGATGAGTTAGAGCCATTTGTTTACTTTAGCTTAACCTACATTTTCTGCAGGGAGGAGGGGAAAAAAAATTCCCTGGGATTCACTTGATATTTTGTCTCTATAGGAGCCAATTAGAGTGCACCATAAGAGAGAAACAGGGACAGGGAAAGACTAAGGACAAAAAAAGATGCATGGGGTGGCCTGGTTTGTGTGTTCGTCCGCTGGCCGAGTTCATGAATTACTGAGGAGTCAGAGGATTTCTAACAACTTAGCTGCACAGCATGACATCCGATGACTAGCTTCCCCACCAGATTTATCTTATTGTTTAGGAAATTTCTGCAGCCAACCTGCAATCGCTCTGAAGCAAAAAAGACAGTACATTTTCTTTTGCTCTTGTGCATAGCCAAAGTCAGCCAGCTCTAATGAAAAGTCATTTTAAAAATCATGTTCTATAAATGCAGAAGTAAAATAAACTCATGATTTTTCTTTTTTACTCATTAATGTATCTTCTCAAAAAGGTAAAAAGAACATACTTGAGGACTAAACGTATTCTTTAAAAAAATCAGTAAACAGTAAATATCTAATTATTGTTGTTTAGTCGCTAAGTCGTATCTGATTCTTTTGCAACCCCATGGACTATAGCCCGCCAGGCTCCTCTGTCCAAGGAATTCTCCAGGCAAGAATACTGAAGAGGGTTACCATTTTCTTCTCCAGGGGATGTTCTCATCCCAGGGATCAAACCTGTGTCTCCCGCACTGGCAGGCAGATTCTTTGCTGCTGCTGCTTATTTAGTTGCTTCAGTCATGTCCAACTGTGCGACCCCATAGACTATAGCCCACCAGGCTCCTCTGTCCATGGCATTCTCTAGGCAAGATACTGGAGTGGGCTGCCATGCCCTCCTCCAGGGGATCTTCCCAACCCAATTAGATTCTTTACTACTTGTAAATAATTTGTGTCTTATAGGCACAATAGTCCAAGAGATTCATTACATATAACTTACATCCCTAAAGAATCCAAAACGTTAGCCATGTTACCAATTATAAGGACCCCAGTTGTGGACCACAGATATATAAAGGAACATCTTCAAGAGTTTTCAGTCTAAAAGAAGTTTCTACCAGAAACCAAAAGTGGTTGGACTAACTTGCAAGTAACATGTACCTCCCAATATCTGCATAGCAAAGAAAAGCATACAAATGTCAACAACTTTAAATCCCAACTTAAACTATTACTGTAAAAAGAATTCCCAGTGTTCCAACCTATCAGGTTACTTTCACCTTAAATTTTTTATGCCGGAGTTGTTATGTTACATCTGCAAAATTTAGAAAGGTTTAATGCTAATATAATAAAACATGTGAATTTAAAAATTTCTCACTACCAGAATAATTAGTTCAAGCCCTGGGAAGCCATTAATATTAAAGTGTAATCATTACACAGTCTTCTGATACTTCTGTCACGACCCATTAAAATCGACCCTGAGGATAATCTTTAGAGCTGTAACTCATTGTATTTAAAAAGATGCTTCCTGTATTCAGACAAAACTCTAACCCCAAAAGATACACATACCCCTATGTTCACAGCAGTACTATTCACAACAGGCAGCACATGGGGACAACCTGAATGTCCATTGCGAGGTGAATGAATAAAGAAGATGGGGTAGACATACACAATGGAATACTACTAAGCCATAAAAAAGAATGACATGATGTCACATGGATGCAACTAGAGATCAGCAAACTATGTGAAGCAAGTCAGAAAAGAGAAAGACAAATACCATATGATATCACTTACACATGCAACCTAAAATATGACACAAATATCCATGAAAGAGCAACAGATCCACAAACATAGACAACAGTCTTGTGGTTGCCAAGGGGGATGGCGCTGGGGGAGAGACAGCCTAGGAGGTTGGGGTTAGCAGATGTAAGCTTTTATACGTGGAATGGATAAACAACAAGGTCCTACTGTGCGGCACAGAGAACCATATTCAGTATCCTATGAGAAACCATAAGGGAATATTAAAAAAAAGAATGTGTGTATATAGATATGCATAACTAAATCACTTTGTTGTATAGCGGATATTAGCACAGCATTGTAAATCAACTATGCTTCAATTAAAAAAATAAAAGATGCCCCAAGTGTGGCAGTCAGGCCTCCCAGGCAGAAATGAAACATCAGACAAGGTCCAACGTGCAGTCTTCATCAGGCTTTTCCCGGTACCTTCTCCCCCAGCATCTCCCACTCACCTGAAGGAGACCCCGGCCATTTCAAACATGAGCCTTGCAGCTGTAGTCTCATTGCTGTCGTGGTATTTATCAGACATGAAAATGACTTCTTTTATCCCTTCAAAGGCAACGATGGAAGAAATCTCATTATGGGCACGCAGAGACACGGCAACAGGCACGCGGAGAGGAGCCCCGGGCGAGCCTGGCGAGCCACGCTTCCTGAGTGGACCCGCACACGCCGTCCGGTTACTGACACCTGTGTCTGCTGCTTTCAAATACGGCCGCGGACTGATTAGATGTCATCTGCCCTCCAGTCTTTATGGATTTTTTTTTAAATAAATGCAAAGTGAAAACATGTCAAATAGTCAAGCCTTGATCTGATTAACAAATTTTCTTTACTGCAGGCAATCGAATATTCTTTTTTCACAAGGCGGTGACTCCTTAACTCAACAGGCTAGTGGGGGTGGAAGAGAAGGCTGGCACAATCAGAGATGAGGACCAGCGTGCTGCCAAGTAAGACTCTGCAGACCAGTTCAAGCCAGCAGACCAGTCCAAGGCAAAGGGCCCATCCGGTTTCCTTCCCTGTCTCACTGGGCACTTCGAGCATAAGGGCCAAGAGTCTGGAGGGCACGTGACACATCACCTGCCTCGGAAGGGACACCGGAAGCGGCTCTTCCCACGCACCCGTCATCACCTCTGTGCTTGAGGATGGCAAGGAAAACTCACAGAGGATCATGCACCGCCAGTGAGGAAGCCCACAACATTCCTTAACAGAGACTCTCGATCCTGAGCCCCCCAGACCCCTTCTGCTCAGAGATCCACAGGCTTGTGATAAACAGCCCCGTTAAAGCACACATCTGGCTAACATGATAAGTCTTTAAATCTCAAGCCGAGAGCTTTATGGAGATAAAGTGTAGCTGAATCTGAGATGTGACAGTTTGAAAAAGGTGAAATATTCAGCACACAATGGTGCAGATTTATGGTAACCGTAACGTGGGAAAAACCTGAAGTCGGACCATTTGAGTCTTAACGACGTTTATATGTAGAAGGATGTTTAGGTCTCAAGTATCTACCACATATTAGAGACAAATTAAAATTTCATATAGAGACTCCCAGCTGACCTTGTTTCTGACAGAAGTTCACTTCTCTCCCTCCCCCTAATCTATGCACAATATGTCAGAAAATGGTAACTTGACAGTAATTATATGCAACGCCTGTGTTGTTTTTCGGCAGCTTGCAGTTTAAGAAGTTGCAAACTAAATTAAAAACATGCTAAGAATCACAGAGGATGCAATTAGTCTTAGAATACCTGGCACTGTTCAAAAACAAAACACGGCAAATACCTTGCAAAGTTGATAGTGCAATTAACTGAGATCGAAACAATGGTGATTTAAGATCAAACACATCTGCATTGAGCAGGCAGAGATGCAAATGCGACAAATGGGACGGCCCGGGTCCTACCTGCCTGGATGATGAGCTTAGCACATTCATTACACGGGAACAAGGCGACATACATGCTACAGCCTTTCACGTCTGCTGAGTTTTTGTTCATAATGGCATTCAGCTCCGCGTGGCACACTGCGGATTGGAAGGAGAAAGAAAAACTTTAGACTGCACGCTCACGAGGAACTTGCTGATGGTGTTGAGGCATTCCACTTGCCCCTCTGAAATAACACAGACGATAGACTCGATTTTTCAAAAACTGATTAGAGATGGAAAGCACTGAAAAACGAGCGCCACGTGGGCTGATGGGATGGCGATAAGCAGTGAAAACCATTGACCGCAGCAGCTCTGGGCCTGTGGGCACCCAGAGCAGCCAGGAGGGGCCAAGGTCAAGTGTCTTCGCCCACTCCACGCAGAGCAGGAGCTCACGGCTCCACGAGACCCTGGGGATGGAACTGCCAGCATCATTTGTGTGTTGATAAGCACACAAGGGGATACTTGCCGGAGCCGTTAAAAGGGCAAAGAGCAATTTTAAGAGCAAGAGAATCAGGAAGTGAAGCTAAGCATTTCTGTCCCCAGGGATCTGCTGCCCCATATGGTTCTCAGTCCACACACCCTCAAGAAAAAGCTCAGCGGATAACCAGCAGTTTGTCCTCCAAACGAAAAACATCCATCCACTTAATAACCATGGAAAGTTGAGTTCTTGCTATACAATCCATGATCTAAGGGCATCCCCAGGCTTGACTGAGTCCAAGGTTTAGGAGGCCTCCTCCTCTCCTGTCCTGCACCTGTTGCAGCCCACCCATCTTCCCAGCTACTTGGTAAGCTCTTCCCATCACCTAACCCACAGGGCTTAGCAGTCTTCACCACTGCAGTCTTCACGCCAGAATCCTCGACCTGCTTTGTCAGGCTGCTGTATTGCTTTCTAATAACATCACTTAAGGTTCTGGCTGCATTATCTAAAATTCTTCTCCTTCTGGTTGTGATTTGCAGACTTGTCTGCCCACTGGAATCCCCCAGGGAGGACACACCCACGTCTGTGTACCACACCTGGACACTGTGATGGTCTGGGCCTTGGAATTTTTGAGATTCTCTCTGCAGACACGTTGAGGAAACACTGCCTTAAAGAATCCTCTCGTATCTGCAGGAGGACCTAACACATTCCAGGCACACCAGTGCTAGATAAATGTTTGCTGAATGAATTACCATCCGGCCCTGGTTCAAATCATACAAAAATCCTAATTCTTAATATGGGGCCTTCCAAGGTCTCCCCCTCCATCTCCAACTCATCCACCTTCTACCCTGAGCACCTTCTTCCAGGAGCTCTGAGGCTGTAAAACTAAGAATGCTGCTTACCAATCGGTTCTACAAGATCAGGTCAGCAGCCGCTGCAGTCACTGACCTGCCGGGCGCCCTGAAAGGAACTCAGGACAGAGCACAGGCGCAGGCACTCTGCTCCGGGAAAGCAGGCAGCACAGGCCCTTAGACAGAGACATCTCTCAGGAAAAAATCAGGTACCGATTCCAAGAAAATATTTTGATGAACTCAGATTCATGAATCTTCCCATACTTCAATTCAGTTCATTTCAGCTCAGTCATGTCCAACTCTTTGCGACCCCATGGACTGCAGCACACCAGTCCTTCCTGTCCATCACCAACTCCCGGAGTTTACTCAAACTCACGTCCATTGAGTTGGTGACGCCATCCAACCATCTCATCTTCTGTCGTCCCCTTCTCCTCCTGCCCTCAATCTTTCCCAGCATCAGGGTCTTTTCCAATGAGTCAGGTCTTCGAATGAGTGGCCAAAGTACTGGAGTTTCAGCTTCAGCATCAGTCCTTCCAATAAATATTCAGAACTTAGGAAAGCACTAAACTCATTAACTGAGATACCTGTTCCTCATGACTGGCTTATACCGTATGCTGATGGCACAAACTCCTTAGCCAAAATCACGTATACCCAGACCTCCCTCGCTACCTCTTCAGAGCTGCTCCTCGACCTACCTGAGAGGCTGAATCCTGGGCTACAGTCCTCAGTAAGACCCTGAATAAGATTCAACTCACAGCTCTTACATTCTGTGTTTTTCTCTCAGCCAACAAGGCCTTAAAACAAGAGAGGCCTGAACTCACGGCTCTCGTGTATTTGAGCCAGGGCATGCTTGTTCAGTCAATGCACTTTTTTTTTCTTTTAAATCAGTGTACTTTTACTGAGAGTCCACTCTGGTGGCTCAGGCAAGACACAGACCCTGCTCCACTTCCTCCCCAGGCCTCCCGTTTTCAGGGGACATCCTCGGTGTCCCTGCAAACCCCGCAGCAGCTCTGCAATGCTGCAGGCAGAAAGCTGGCCAGGGGCCTCTCAGGAGATGTTGAAGGGCGCTCATTTTAGCCTATGAATACCACGATTTAGCCACGTGTGGAAATGAACAGTCTCTGGCATTGTTAAGAAAATCTAAAGGGGCAAAAAAAAAAAGCTGTGCTTCATCAGATCACAGCCGGTCAGAGAACAATCCTGGCTGACTGCAGAAGGACGGAGCCTGGCTCCCCGAGGCTCTGTGCTGAAAATCCCGGGGTCGGGGGATGCCCAGGGCTCTCAGGGCATTGGCCTGGGAGGGGCCCCCTTAGCCCCATCTCCCTCCTGGGTGACCAACATGTTCCCAAGCTGGTATTAACATTGCTCAGTGTTAAAAACAATTATAAGCAATTGTTTCTTTTACTTCCCCCTTGAGGGCAGAGCCCAGTCTTTCAGGTTCTCCAGTAACTCCCCTAGAGCCCAATGTTATGCAGTGAACATAATGGGTGTTAAATATTTACTGAATGAATAAAGGAGGGAGTTCGGAGTCCAATTATTGATGGGGACGTTGGGGAAAATACAGAAGGTCCTCTCAAATTCAAATATCAAAAATATGCTTTCCCCTCTAGTGACTGTTTTTTGATGGCGCTGGTATTAATATTCAGAACTGCAGTTTCTGAATCTGTTAGGAAACACTAGGATATGGTCTTCTTTTGCCTCTCTTAGAAACAGTCACATTGAAACTACCTTCCTCTAATTCTTTGGAGGCAGTCTGGGGCAAAATTTGACATTATGTCTGGACTCATTAATGAAAATTATCACATGAAACAGATTCTCTTGGGCGGCATCCGACATCCCTGTATCAAGGGTAGTTTATAGAAGTAACACACAGGACTATAAAACAGACTTCCTGTCTCTTAACTATAAAAATCACAGAATGCAGAATACAGAGCTTCTTGTTAGAGAAACAAGAGGTCTCCCGGGCATTTAAGCGGCTGAGTGCTGGGCACACGTGAGTAAGGAACAAGTCACAATCCACCATCCTGCATGTTCAAAACCAGACAAGGCAAAAATGAAACCCACACATCCCACCCACGATTCGCTGCCCTTGCTCACCCATGCACCACTCCAATTCCAGATGCATCCAACACCCGCCCCTGCATCTGAGGGTTGAGGGGGGAAGCCCCCTATCCCCGCTCCCGGAAGCGCCTGACACTCAGAGGCCCCCCTGTGCCGTCAGCCTGGGCCCCCGGGTCTGAAAGTCTCCCGGCCTGGCTGACCTCTCAGCTCCGCCGCCTCCAGGCTCAGTGGCCCGGGCCCTCGCTTCCCCTCCAAAGCTACCCTGGCAAAGTTAAGTCCCTAAAAATGGTTCTGGGTATAACCTTTATTTGCTGGGTTGCCATGTAAAAAGTTTAAGAAGTACTAGTTCATGGAAACCTGTTGACCTCTGTAACGCGGTAGTGCATGTTCAGTTCAGTTCAGTTCAGTTGCTCAGTCATGTCTGACTCTTTGCAACCCCATGGACTGCAGCACGCCAGGCTTCCCTGTCCATCACCAACTCCCAGAGCTTGCTCAAACTCATGTCCATGAGTCGGTGATGCCATCCAACCATCTCATCCTCTGTCGTCCCCTTCTCCCTGCTGCCTTCAATCTTTCCCAGCATCAGGGTCTTTTCCAATGAGTCAGTTCTTCGCATCAGGTGGCCAAAGTGATTGGAGTTTCAGTTTCAGCGTCAGTCCTTCCAAAGAATATTCAGGACTGATTTCCTTTAGGATTGACTGGTTGGATCTCTTTGCAGTCCAAGGGACATGTATATAACCAACTATTTAAAAAAAACAAAAACAAAAGCTAAGCCCTAGTGTATAGTACCTGCCGATTCCTGTGGTACAAATACTCCCAGGGCCAATTCCAAGCTCCCAATGTGATTATCATTTGGGAGAGATGCATAGGGGAGGCTGTGCCCACTCCCCACCAGGCAGCCTCCTCCTTACCTGAATCCAGTCCCTTTCTGACTGCAGTCTCTGGGTTCCCTGCTCCCCTGGCCCCTGATTCTTGATCCCTCTCCCCCCCACCCCCCACCAGCCCTCTCAGCATCACCAGACCCCGTCTCTGTGGGTCTCTGCCCTGCTCTCAGGTTTCTGGGCATTTCCCAAGGTGCAAGCCTGCTCTTTGGTTTTCCTCCCACAATGGTCGACTTTGAGAATTCATCCATTCCTAGATTCTCAGAGAGCAGATCTACTTGCAAAACCCTGAAATCTACATTTCTAACCCCAATTTCCCATATTCTCCGCAGGCTTCTTCCTTGGGAGGTGGGTTGGGGGGCTGAGTCCACTATGATAAACACTCTGCAGATATCTGATGGCACTGTTAAAGGATGCCTTTATCTTTTTGAGTGTTAGCGATTTTATGACGTAGCTTAGGAAGAGCTTCAGCTAGAACTACAAACAGGCCTGAGCACAAAAACCAAGCAAGGAGGATGGTTCTGCTACTGATCTCAAGATGAGCCTGGTTTCCACATTCACTGCAGGAATCAGGACCAAGTATTCCAAAGAGACACAGTGTCTGGGAAGTATTCAGAAGACAGTTAAATTGTTACACACACACAAGAAGACTCATTTTCTGTTTACCCAGAATTACTCACCTATGGCTGAGCAATAAGCAAAAGAAGTCTCCAAATACTACATGTGTATTTGTGAAGTACAAAGAGTGACATAGAAACCTTCAATGAGTCTCAACACTGTTAAAAAGGAGAAGAATCAAATGCTGGAAATATCAAATTGATGCTTCCAAAAGTTCTTGATTGCTAGAAGGAGAACCTCTATTTCAGGTAATTATAAGACAATTCATAT